TAATCCTCAAGGCTAATGACTATGATTCACATATTCTAGTGACAAGAAGTTCTTCCAGAAGTATACAACTAAGTGGATAACGCTTCTTGTACTGCTGATTTAAAAGAGAAGTCATGTAGCAAAACAAACTTGCCTTCTAAACAATTAAGCTGTATGATGCCTATAGGGAAATATTTTTTGTGACCAGTTACAGTAGTTTGCTTACCATTTTATCAGCATTAAATTTATATTACTAAAGCCTTAAAGCAAACCACTCCAAATGTATTCTGCAGACAGGAACACTGCAAAGGCATAAAGGTCAACGTGACTGTGGAGTTTCTTTTCAATAAAGTTTTACTTTATTAATGCTGTCTATGACTCTCATGAGCTTTGGATCAAATCCCAGTCTAGCCAAAGTAGCTTTACTGGAAAAACAAACAAAAATCCCCAAAGTGAACAGACCTCATTTATCTCATTAAATTTTTATGAATATATTTACGTCAGAAGATTTATACTGGTACTTTACCCCAGAATCAGATTATGAATTGGTATTGCCTAACTTTGAAAGTTAATGTCGTGTCACTATCATGCCGTAAGTGCAGCTTCAAAATCAGCAGCGTAACTATTAATTTATATGCTGCATAGTACAATAAAGCAGAAACTACACCCAAATTGCAGCATCAGTTTAGAATGGATTTTTTGTCCAAAAAGTAATGAAGGATTGGGCAGAGTGTATTTTATTGTCACCTTTAAACACTCTTAACATTTGCATCACCCCTGACAAGTATAAAAGAGTTCAACATGAAAGTTACATGACAGAAATGTCTGAGTGAAATGTGAAAATGTTTGTAACGATGTTATAAGCAGGAATCAGTTATCAGCTCTCACAACATACAGCATCATCCATATCTCCCTGAGAAATCATGCCCTGCAATGATCATGTAAAACAAAATACAGCATTAATGCAATCCTGGATTTTAAAGAAAAATGAAAAAATAATAATAATTTAAAAATACTCCAACAACCAAACATGCATAACAACTGTTTATGAACCAACACTTAAATGCTACTATTAAAATTGCAGACACTACATATGACAGCGATAGCAGAAATGGTAACTATCTCAAAACCTAACCCAAACAAAGAAAATTGATTACAAGTACCATTCTACAGTTAGCCATATAACTGAACATTGTGATACTAATATTATTTTTTGTTTCTTGATTTTTGAGTATGCCACTTCTTAACTTCATTTAGAAACATACGAACACACTCTGCCTTACTGAGGCCCATTTTCATATGAAATTTGAAAATGTGTCCATAAACACACCCCATGTCTAAAATTTAACTGTTTTTCCCCCTCCTCTGATAGCTTGGCTTAGCTCATTCCCTAAAATAGGAGGTTTAGCTAATTTCCCTAAGATAGAATGTTTTAATAGGGAATAGGAATGATGACATTCAACACAAAAAGAGGTGGAACCAAGAATTACAAAGAAATCATTTTATAACCTTGTTTAAAGCAATCATAGTTATGAATAGCACTACCTAGGCACAATGGGTATTGTGAAAAAAAATGACAATTACAACAGCACACACCAAGAGAAGTAATTTGCAGGGTCTTCCTATTTTTTCTAGTTCATTACAAGGAGGTATGCAATGCATATACCAGCATACCAGGTCAAGTATCATATGCAGCACCATGGTTTATCCTTAAAGAATACCACTGCTTAACACCGTATTTCCACAAAACACCACCACAGTGAGATAACCAGGCAGTGCCTTAGCCTTAGCCTTCCTGCTTCTGAGTGTCAGTGTGCAGTCCGCTCCAGCCCAGTTCCACAATAAGCCAAATCGGTCACATACTACAGCCCCCACCCCCTGATATGGATTTCTGCAGGCAAAAAGCCAACAAGCATGATGCAATGCACACTGGGCAACAGAAACATAAGGCCCTCAGTGTGTTCAGTGGCATTCATGGGACGCGTATTTTAAGTAACTGTCAAGTACTGATGTAACATGTATTTCAGTTCTTTCCTGAATTAGTAATACATCTACAGCAGCACCTTGTAGTGAACACATTTTCAGCATGACTGAAACCTGACAGAAAATGGCCAGAAAAACTGAAATCCTTTTTCCCCTTTGTTCTGGAGTACAGTATACAGTATATATAACTACGCAAGACTCACCAAAACCCTAAAAGCGAAGGCGTGCTATGTGGCATTTGGCAAATTATCATCATTTCCTCCATGTATAAAACCCAAACAGTTCCAAAACCTCAATCACACACACAGAAGAAATTGTTGGTTGTCTCATAAGATTACAGGAATTAGTTCAACTGTTTGACAGAGCAACACATGTAGTATTCATTTTCCATTTTGTAGGCATAGGAAATCACTGTTCCTTAAGCATCTAATGACATTCCAGGAAATGCTTGAGATAAAAATTCATTATTTTTTTTAAACTGCATGTGCTTCCTACAAGAAATAAATCAGAATAAAGACATTGCCAAATTGAAACAGTAAGAGCAGTGATAATTTATGCTAGCACACAGGGATAAAGCATTTATAAAAGAGCTCCTTCACATTCCAGGTGTGTCGTGAGAAAGAAAAACCCAGCATGTCTCCGTTATGTCAGAGGTACCTGAGAATCAAAGCTAAATCTCTTATGCATTTACCAAGCACCCGTTAGAGAGCTACGCAATTTACATTTCAAATTAGACATTATATTTATGAAATATTCTTGTACTAAAAGTCACAAGATTTTACGGAAAAAAAATCTCATCACATTCTATTAAATGCAGGAACAATGTTACATGTCATAGCTTCTGTAATTAAAACTGTAACACATTTCTTGTAACTACAGGGGCACTACTCTTTAAAAATCCTTACTGGAAAGACAGTTTGCTTTGTTTCTTACTTTTTAAAGAACTGTAATTTAATTTAAAAAGACTGCTCAACCTATCTAGTGCCATGATTCCATGATTAAAATATGTGATATCGTAGAAGAAAAAAAACCCCAAAAACAAAAACAAAAAAAAAACAACCCACAAAAAACCCCCCACCAACCAAAACACTAAACACACTTGTTAAAAACAAAAAACAGCAGGAAGATCCTAACTTTGAGTTTACTCAACATTCATCAATATACCTGGGGTCAGAGACAGACAAGTATTTTCTTAGTACTTACACTACTTATTACCTCCCAAACTAATGAATGGTGGAAGTTAACAGAACTCTCATACATGGCAGACTATGACTATCTTTCACTTTAAAGCCATGAACCTAAGGACAAATATGAACAACAACTGCCCATTATACATTGCTCCAATTCTATCAGTATGACCAATTTCAAAAAGACAGTACTAGAATATTCCACTAAAAATACTGTAATTGCCCATCCAAAAGCAAACTGTTTTCCCAGGCTTACTTTGCTGATGCCACAAGTCCTGACTGATTCTAATTTGTAGTTAATGCCTGGTATTATATATTTGGTATGATTTCATTGAAACACATCATTAATTAAAAACAGACATTAACTATTTATTGCAAGTAGGCCTGAACATCACTTCTTGGAAAAAAAGTTGAAGTTAACATTCTCTAAATTGCCATAACTTAGAAAAGAAAAATAAATAAAAATCCCCAAACCAAACAACTAAGGAAACTCCACTTAAAACAAACAAACAAACAAACAAACAAACAAAACAACCCTGAAAATTTGACCGAAGCCAAATGCAAATGCAAACTTAGTTCTACATCTTGCATTTTCAACCCCTCTACTCGTAAGGTTTGGAAACTGAAAAGTGACATTTCACAAAATGCCTACATAAATGCAGAAAAATTTTGTTGGTTTGGGGTTTGGAGGGGGGTTCTGTGGTTGATTTTTGTTTGTTTGCTTGTTAGGTTGGTGTTTTTTACTTCTTATTTCAGGTGTCCAAAGAAAGATGTACTATCTCATCTTCAAGAGACGCCTCAGATTACTGAAACTTGAAGTGTAATTCAGTATTAAAAACTGGAAGAAGAATTTTGATAAAGGTGCAATATTTTACCAGAAGAGTCCCAAGGTTCATTTTTCCTTCCTTCTCCACTTGCAGATTTTTACATTAAATTGTAGCTCCTGCTAATCAGTCCTTCTAAATGTAGTTAAGTATTTCGTCTTGTGTAGTAGTTGTACCACCAAACCACCAAAATTTCTTTTGGAAGGGTAATTTCTGAGTGTCAAAATATGAAAAAGCATTTTTTTTATGTCATTCTTCTGTATTTGTGTGGAAGGACATTAGAAGTACCCTACATTATTAATAATCTTGCCACATGGAAGATAATACTCTTGGCTGAAAATCCATCCTCCATCAATAATAAGAAAATTAAATCCATCAAAAGCCAAAATTAACTTCTATGTGTGTCTTATAGGCCAGAAGTTGGAAAAAGGCATTGACTCATTTCAAATATTCCTGAATATAATTATTCATAACTTTTCAGAATAAAATAGGACAGAAGCACTGCAGTGGAAGGAAGATAACGGTTTATAAGGAAAATTATCAGGTTTAGAATAAATTTATTAATGCAACTGTGGTTGGGGAGGGGGGGAAGAAAAATCAATGCAGACACCTCTATCTTCCAGATTGTTCAGCAAATTACTGCAGTGCCAACCCACTGACTGAAAACTTTCACACTTAATTTGGTCTCTTTTAGAACTTGGCAGCTATACACATGAAAATGTTCAAATTTAGTTTTTCATGTAAGGTAACTGGGAATAAGAATGGGTTACAGAATCAGTCTGTTTAACACAAACGTGGATTTTGAGAATGCACACCCAAATGTACTGTAATTTCTAATATTTTACCATTCACTAAAATTTTAAACATTCCAAATTGTTAGGTAGCAAAAGATTTTTAAACATCAGCGCCTATTGCCATTACAATTCTTCTCAAAACAGCATAATACAATATATATGTAGTGTTCCAGGACCGTACAAAAATCCTGCCTTAATAATTACAAGAATGCACTTAATAAATTATTTTTCTATCTTCTATTAATATGCAAACAGTTTATACAACATAGAAAGTTAATTTGTACCTACTACAGGTAACATCTATTCAGCTTTTCATTTGAAAGCCTGTAACACTTGATGACCTGCAAACTCATTTACATAACTCATTTGAAAGTATTTTTTAAAAATAATATTGTCCAGCATTTAACAAAATTGTGAGTTAAAGAAAGAAGGAAATCACTTTAACAGCATTTGTTTTCTTGATTCTTGATTTTGTCAAGTAACTTCATGAGCTCTGTTATAAGGCAGGTTGGTTGCTCTGATAGACTGATTCCCTATGGTGATAGACATGTAGTAAATTTGTTCATTTATAAAACTAGATGAAAGCAAGAAAGAGGAAAAGTTTAGAGTTTCAAAAGAACTGAAACTTCTTATTTTTACTACAAATTCAGAATAGGCACTGGAACACGATTCCTTAGGGACTTTTCCAGGAGATTGTCTTTTCGCTGGGCATCATCATTCTATTTTTAAACTAAGGAAGGAAACAAAAAAAAAAAATTATCAGGTCTACATAAATTAAAGATTACCAAAAAAGGAATCTCCATACGTATTTGTCTCAAACTTACTAGTAAAGATAACTAACTCCTGTGTCTTAAACTTAAAGACATTACAAATTACTGTTTCGGTTTTTTAATTTCATTATCATTTATTATTTTTAATTTCATTATCAGATTTAAGCAACATTGGAAAATAAAAATATACTTCTCATCATGTAATTCTGCATGTGTTATTTGAAAACTAAAGCCCTGAAGCATAGGGATAAGACAGTTCCCTAAACTATGTCTATTCTTATGGTCCTAGACAGTATCAATAAACCATGTAATGTTCCTATTAGAGGTTTGCATAACTGCCTCAGAGAGGGGTATTTTGTGACCTCCCCAGCTATTCTAGTCTAGTTTCCCTATCCTTATCACAAGAAACAGTTTTCCCTAATATTTAATGCAATTTAACAGCTTAATTCTTGTCAACCACATACACAAAGACCCCTTTGCATTTTCTAGACCCATAATGATTAAGTCGGGCAATGTCTTCTAAACTTCCTTAAACGTCCCTAAACGTCGATGTTTTTCCATGAACAGAAAATTATATGTCTCTTCTGGTTTATCAATTCATGTCCAATTTTCAATGAACATTGTAATACTCAAGTAAAAAAAAACTACCCTAGATTTCAAAACCATGGACCAAGAACTGCATCAAGGTGAGACTAATGCTTGGCGATGAATAATAATAATTTTGAAGATACCCTTCAAAACTCTTGTCTACCAGTATGGCAAAAGATTAACTGCATGCTCTGTAAATCCTTACCTTTCTCTGCATTGTTTGAAGTTTATTAAACATACCTTTCACCTATGAACAGCAACTATCTCCATCTTGTGAAACACTATGCATAGGAATGAGACTTTCACACTGCTCGTTTTCTTCTGGCACTCTTAAAAGAAACAAAAACACTTAAAAGTTATACAGTAATATTAAATTGGTTGTTACAAAGCCAACATAAGTACTAAGTATGCTAGTTGTTTGAACTGCAACCATTAAAACCATACAAAGACCCTCAACTTCATAAGGTATACTCACGTTGCACGATTTTAACTGCTTGTTCTGGGTATGACAGTTATCACAGAGGCATTAAGGTGAAAAAAGAAAACTGACAGCCACTAGGGAACGTCTTCTAAAATCTGAACAGACTTCACCTCTTCCCATTTTTCGAGCATTACATAGGTTAGTAAGTGGATTGGTAAATACTACTATTAAGAAATTAGTACAGCTGAATACACCTGAATGTCAAATTATATTAAAATAAATACTGTATGAGTAATGTGGCTTAGAAAAGAGTATGACATACTGGAAAGGCTAAAGAAGAGACAGGATTATACTTTGTGACTGCCCTACCTCTGAATTCGATGTTTTCTACAAATAAAGGCAAAAATTCTTCTGATTCCCACCATCACTGGATCCCAGTTGTTGTAGTGACATAAGAGAGTTGCAATGAAAAAGGAAAAAAATACAGGTACTGCCCCTGCAAAAAATAACCAGGAAAACTGCACCTGGAATTAAAACACAAACATCATTCACTCAATAGTCTAAAAAATAAAAAATAAAAAAAATAAAAAAAAAATCACCTACTATATATTTGGGATAATTATTACTCTAAGTTTGAGATGCAGTTTCAGTTCTTTTAAATTGGGAGAGTTATCTGGTACAATTTCTATAGCCACTGCTACTTCTAATAAATGATTAACCTTTCTTCACTGATCTGTGCTTTACAATTGAACATACTGTTTGCACCGTGGTGTGGATGAAGACTGCCATTGCCAGTAGCCTCAATTTGAGGTTTTAGCTGTCTGAATGGTACCAGTCAAAAAGTCCCTTAGACACTTCAAAAATTCTTTCACCTGAAAGATTTGTGCACCTGTTTATTGACTATGAATATACTGTTGCTAAGTGGTAACTGCTGAAATCAATGCACACAGAAAAACTGCTACTGGAAATTTAAAGTAATTGTCTTTTTAAATAAATAATAATTTAAAAAAAAAAAAAAATTCCAAAAAGGTAGGGCACGTTATTTGCCCAATTTAAACTAAATTCTACTTGTAGCTATACTAGTATTTTATCTACTACTACACTCAGAAGTGATCATCTGACACTGTTTAAAACTTAAAATTATAGAAAGGTAGAGGGTGGTGAGGCACTGGCACAGGTTGCCCAGAGAAGCTGTGGCTGGCCCCTCACCCGCAGGGTCCGTCCAAGGCCAGGTTGGATGGAGCTTTGAGCAACATGGTCTCGTGGTAGATGTCCCTGCCCATGCAACACCATGATCCTTAAGGCCCCTTCCAACGCAAACTATTCTGTGATTCTAAATCAAGGATGCAAGAACAAGAACTGGCCTCTCAAACGCCTTTGAGGCCAACAGAGCAATGAACCATGAACATAGCACCCCCTTGTGGGGAAAATCTCCAAAATTGAAGACTGGAGAAAAAGGGTATGGATTTGATACCTTGCACTGATGCTCATTCTTAAAAATCTAATAAACTGCAGTTTTAAGAGCTTTATGTTACTCTTACTGATTTCTAATAGAAATTCATAAACACATAAGGAATATTCCAAAAGGAATATTCAAAAGTTACCAAAGTTACCAAAAGGAATATTCAAGTATTTCTTAAGAACTCGGATGTAATTTCTTAAGATTCTGATTTAAGTCAGACTATTACAGAATAATTAATACCCAGAAAGTTAGTAATTATGCATATTGTAAGAAACAAACATACTCTACTCTGCTCTTGTGAGGTCTCACATGGAGTATTGTGTGCAGTTCTGGTGTCCTCAACATAAAAAGGACATGGAGCTGCTGGAGCAAGTCCAGAGGAGGGCCACAAGGATGATAAGAGGACTGGAGCACCTCCTGTATGAAGACAGTCTCAGAAAGTTGGGGCTGTTCAGCCTGGAGAAGAGAAGACTGCGTGGAGACCTCACAGCAGCCTTCCAGTATCTGAAGGGGGCCTACAAGGATGTTGGGGAGGGACTCTTCCTCAGGGACTGTAGTGGTAGGACAAGGGGTAATGGGTTTAAACTTAAACAGGGGAAGTTTACATTAGATATAAGGAAGAAGTTCTTCACAGTGAGGGTGGTGAGGCACTGGAATAGGTTGCCCAAGGAAGTTGCGAATGCTCCAACCCTGGCGACGTTCAAGGCCAGACTGGACAGAGCCTTGGGCGACAGTTTAGTGTGTGGTGTCCCTGCTCATGGCAGGGGAGTTGGAACTAGGATCTTAAGGTCCTTTCCAACCCTAACTATTCTATGATTCTATGATTCTATGAAATACACTTGTACAAACTACCTTAAATTCTACAGGAATTTGCCTTTAAAGTCACTCATTTGTGCTTTGTCCTGGGTTCAGCTACAGCAGTCATTTTTTCTCCTTCTTAGTAGCTGGTGCGATTTGAAGAGGATTGGACTAGAGGTCTTCTCTTTGGTAATCTGACTTCCATAGGTTCTTGTGAAAATCCCACCCACTAAGCCTGCAGAATAATGGTGAGAGTTTCCAACTAATCCTAGAAAAGTATGTGTCTAAACCCCACAAATATCCAATATCAGTTAGATAAACTATTTCATTTGAAAACACCGTCTGACATCCATGGCTACATATATATATAGTCTACCATTAATCAACCGCTTACAAAGTATTAGCATGAAAAAGAAAGCAAGCTTTACAGGATGACATGTGGTTTCTTGGGTTCAAAAAAGATACAGAACTATGAATTCTTGGAGAACCAACGTTTGAGAAGAAATCAAGGAGAACAGAACAGACTCCATAAGAAAATTATATCTGTAGTCTCTGGAGAAGGAAGAAATAATATATCAGTGTGTAGTTACACTGTGTCCCCTGTAAATCAGCAGTCTCTGCTTTAATTGACAGAACACAATCACAAGTAAGCAAAATTGGTGCTCAAGAAGCTATTTAATCTCTCAAAAAAAAAAAAAAAAAAAAAAAGTATTTTCCATACCTACAAATATACAAGCAGCAACCACAACCTAAAAGCATCAAACAGACAGGAAAGTAGAAACTCGGACAGTAAGTACATCACAGCCACCAGAAGAAGGAATGACAACAGAAATGTGGAATGCATATACGAATCAGAAAAGGAACAAGAGAAGGAACCCCCAACCCCTCCCTGATTACTCTCCTGCAAATGGCAAGATGCAAGAAGCATCAGCTAATGGCCAGCTTCATAAAACCAATCAGGGTCTACATTTGTGCAGAGAAAGAGACTATCTCAAACAGAGATAGAAAAATTAAAAGGAACAGAAGGTAGCAAGTACATGGAACACAAAATCCAGAAGGAACCAAACGGCAGCAAAGAATAGTGGATGAAACGGATCAAGCATGAAGATTCAGATCACGAAAGATGTTGGCAGCACATAAACTGGGACAACACAGGAAGTGGAAGATTTAAAACAAGAAATAAGAAAAGAGGAAATATAAGGTGTACAGAAAGTTAGATTGATAGCTAGCTACATTTGTGGGGCTTTTTTGTTTGCTTATAAATACCAATAATATAAATAAAAATTGGAGGGACTCTAACAGTGACAAACTATAAAAATGAGTTAATGTAACTTGTCCTTGTATTACCAACATCCACTGAAAGTCGTCCAGCAGAGCTTTAGAGATATTTCTGCTAGTTCAAATGCCTCAATATTGCATGAGCACATGAAGAATAAATTAATTTTAAAAGATCCAGACCCTGTGCTTGCTCAGTAAATAGCCTAGACATTAAGTTGCGTACTGAGAATTAGAAAAGCATATTCCACTTTTCAATGTATTCTAGAAGAAAGTTTAGAGTAATCACTTCAGAAGACAAGATCTGTATATACACATACATCTCTAAAAATATACTTGTGTGTGTGCGCAAATACATACATATAAAATATGTATTAATGCACACACGTATATATACACACACAAAAAATTCTCAGGTTTTGCTACCAGCATTAGCTCACACCTAAACCTTATTACACCTCACTAAAGTGGATTTTGGGGAGAAGAAGTCTATGGATCTTTTTTTTCCTTGTTTCCTTAGGGGCTATCATTAGTTATTTACTTTCCTACTTAATTTATATCCCAAGTGTATATTACAGATAAACAGCAACACACGTGCAGCTATCTTACCAACAAACGCTTTATTAGTGTTGGAATCACTGCAAGTATTTGCTGTATTTCCACACTGAATATTCAGCTAATACTAATATAAAATATACTGTATCTCATGTGTTCATTATACAAGTATTTATTCAGGGTCTGACTCTTTATTTTCCAATTTGACTTTCCTATTTTTATTCTTTTATTTTTCAGATTTATTTTCCAAAATCCACACTGACATTAAGTAAATGACCTCAATTTAAGCAGAAAAAAAACTCCAAACAAAACCCCCAACCAATGAACCAAAGGAACCAAGCAAAAACCAAATAAAAAAAACAAAAACAAAAAAGACCCTAATAATTGCATGCTTAAAGTATATGCTAAATAATTATTCACAAGAAATTAAGAATTTTATATTCTTTGCACTGATTAAATATTAAATTCAAGTATTCAAAGTTAGAGTTGAAGTTCATAATTAAATATTCAAAACTGAGAATTCTACCCCACCAGCATGAAAACAAAAGTACCTATACAGCTTGAGAGTATTTTAAACGGACTTCATACCAGTTCTATTCTAAACTCATATTATCAGATTCTTTTCTTTCTTTATATGCAAGGTTTTCCACAGCTTTTATCTCAATACCAGTGAAACTAGACTAACCTGAAGGAGGACAGTTAAATGGAAGCCTATCGTCTGCAAGAATCAAATAAAGTGCAATTAAGCCTTGTAGCTTCTACATTCCTTTGTGGTAAATCTGCAGGTTTTCGGGTTTTGTCACTGATTGAGTATCAGTTTATATCAATTCTGTAATTGTAAAGGTATTAAGTGGTACTGTACTTGCAGTTGTTCAATTCTGAAAAGTGCCTGCTCAAGGTAACATTTGGCCAGGCACTGCTGATGATTCTGGGTACTCTTCATACAAGCTGCACCTTAATCACATATATTTAAGTGTGTAAGTGCGTGTTTGCAAATACAAGATTACTGTAACTTTCAATATCAAGAGATTATTAAAAAGCAATGGAAATAAACTACTGTTCATTGTATATATCATTAAAAATAACACCACTATTTAATTCAAAGAAATTCTGTTAATAATGCTCAGAACTTGGTAAGTACATTACCTTTTGCATGCACATGTCAGCTATTATGGACAGAGGTATGGTAAGGCTTAGCGCAAGTGTGCCTATCAATGATGAGGTAAGAAAGCAGCCCCTAAAAGACAATTAAAAAATATATTAATACAGAGGTCTTATTTAAAAGTTAAAATACAAATAAAGTAATACAAACTGCAGAAGACATTTATTCAAGCCTGTCAGATACTGTTTAATAATCAAAAATTGAGATACCCACATGCCATCATAAATCTGTAAAACTCCTTAGAATTCTTAACTAGACTCTAGATGTCTTCTGGAGTGAGGTTTGATTCCTGCACAAACCTTTTGAGATGATGGAAAATTCACTACTTCACATGTAGTGACTCCACCTAGAAAAATCTCCATTTTGTTTCCATTTTGAAATAGTTTAATACCATCTTACAGCAATTAAATATGTTTTGCCTGTGTCTGGTTAATTAAAAAAAGAAAGGCTACTGATATCTAGAAATCCTACCCAAAAAGAAAAATATTTTTTACAGCATACAAATTTTTAACAAACTGTACTTTTCAAATCTCACTCTAAAATATAACCTTGAAATCATTCTTCAGAGTCTCAGTAAGACTTCTCTGCATTCTTCAGAGTCTCATAGTACCTCCCAAGCAGGAACAAAGTCTTTAGACTTCACTAAACCACTGAACCACACAAAGCCATTATAATTTATTTAAATGACAGAACATCAAAACTACATGTATGACAGAGTAGTACCCAAACAGACACAGAATACCGACCATTTTTTCCAAATTCCTTTGCAAGTCTTATTTAGTTTGCAAATGACTGATTTACTGAAGGTTTTTTTGAATTAAATAAAAAATAAAAAATTCAAAGTACATGTAGGACAGTTCAGAGCACAAATGAGCTCTCAATATCTTTGGTATTGTCATATGAACCTAATGATCTAGAAATACAACAGGATTAGTCTAAGCCATTTGAATACCAAGTGAAGAGCATAACATTCAATACAAAAACTGCAATTCCCATTTTATGTTCAACCAAGTCAAAAGTTACCAAGCATAGCAAGGCTTGTTAGAAAATACTCCTCTATGAGATAGACTACCATATGAAGAAAATAAATACAAAGAGGTATCTACCCAATTCAAATCAGTAATGCCCACTTATTTCAAGTCAGCCTCTTATTTCAAAGCCACCAAAAAATTATTTATTTAATAAGAAAAAGGCAACTCTCATCTTTGGCAAGTACTGAAAACAGTACCAGCTGTGCTTTTGTGTGGAACTGTAATGAGTCCTGCACACAGCTAATTTTAAAGAAAATAAACTCTCGTAGTTGCAACATTTGGTAGAATTCTGGAAATTGTTTTTTTTTACCTTCTCATTCTTTACTCTGATTACTGAAAAAATTAAACAGATGCAGCTTCATTAAAGCGCTATTTTAATTCACCTCACAGAAGTTTGTTAATACCTTTTAAACACAAAGATTTGAACACCCATTTGGAAAACATTTTCTAGACCACAGCTTCATGCATGTATTTCTCTAATTAAACTGGAAGAGTTTAATTAGAGAAATACATGCAAACCAAACCAGTAGGTCCTCCATAAGACTGACTTTCAGCCAACCAAAATTACCAGTTCAGGTATCTAAAATCACTTTGCATGTTCTGTGTCCTTAAAGCAAAGAAAAACGTACGCAGATGAGAAAGGAACAGATCAGAAACAAAGCAATTTAAATACTCCGCATTTTTGTAAACTTCCTTCCCAATATTCTAAATCTCCTTCTATACCATAAGAGAATACCTCTGTATCTCTGTACTGACTACTTCTGAGTTAGAACCATCCTGTCAACCAGCACACCATAAATGAATAAACAGTACAGAATCCAACAAAAACTTATCAGCAGGTTCAGAAGAAAAGAAGAAAAAAAAAAAAGAAAAGAAAATTATTAGTGTCACACCTGCCACCACACTGACGCTGTCACTGGATGGAGTAAACAAATAGGTTAAATGATAATATTTACTTCCAAAGAAAGAAGATCATACTAGTGGCACAGTGGGCAGCTAAAAGGGTGATGTCAGCACAAACTCTGAAATTAGTCCTAGTCCAAAATTCTAGGGAAAAGGAACCAGAAATAAAATAGATCTTTGACTGGATCATCATTCTAAGTAATTACACAAATGGTATGCATACAAAAAGTCTACGCACACCCACGTACTTAACCCTATGCTAGTACCTGATTTTGGGATAAGAGCCAAGTTTGCCAGTTTGGGGGGTTTTAGTTTTTTGGGTTTTGTTTATATGTTATTTTACTTATGTTGAAATTGCACTTAACCTTTTTACTAACTGATAATGAAGTGTAGTCTCATCTTACAGGATAGCATTATCATCACAAAAATATTCCATCAATAAACAAATTAAATTACAAAGGACCATATACTTCAATGCACTTACAACTAAGACTGGTGTAGAAGTTTGCCAATGAACAAAAAATGTCATGATTAAATTTCCTAAACTTTAAACTTATTCTGAAAGCAAAACTAAACAAAACAAACACACACAAAAGAAAAAGTTTTCATGGAACTTTGAAGGAACTCCAGCTAGATCTTTCACTGTAGTACTGTCACACAACTTAGGATCCTAGAACAGATGTCTTCATTTCAGAGTAGCTATCCCATGAGGTTTTCCAGTCTCTCTACCACTGAGTTGAGAGCTCAAACACCAGGGGTTCTCAGGCAAAAGATCACAAACTACCACACCTATTCAAAACTAGCACTAAAACTGATGCTGTTATTTGAGTAACTGTATGGCACTGGAAGCATGTCTCTTCTTGGAAACTCTTCCTCGGTGTTTCCAGAATAAAACAGCACTTGTAGAATTTTCTGCTACACTCCTATTTTAACTTAATGCTGGCCTAGAAGAAACTCAGACTTCCTGAAGACTCTCAAGCTGGGAACCCTGACTTACCAAACACTTCTCTAGTAACACTGCTTCTAATAGCCATGCAAAGATTTAAGTCTGCTACAGCTTTTGAGCAGTTCACCTAGAAGTCTGATGTTCAATCCCCTGTTTATGACCTATCCAGACTCTCATATAATTAAATTACCAAAGAAAAGCTAGGCTAATTTAAGAATTGCCATAACTTCATGATTAATGCATCCTGATGAGATTTCTCACATTATGTATTTGAAGATGTAAACAAATTTGTCAGCTATAGAATACTGGATTCCAACTCATCCAACATGAACAAGGCCTTGGAAACTAAAGAACTGTTCAGATGGAAAATCATATTGTCCCATTACTATTGCAACTCTACCACAAAGTCTTTTTGTCTCAAAACGTTAATTCTAGAATAAGCTGAGCAACACAGTATCTTAATAAATACTACAAGACCACATCACTTGCTTTTAAAAGTTCAGCTGTTGCTCTTAAACAGGACATTATGACATGATGACATCCTCTAACTCAAACTGCATACATGGACAGAAGAAAAAATTAAAAAGGCAGAAAACCCTACCGAGACAATTTGACATCTCAACATCTGAGAACACGGGTAAGACAATTTCTGTGAAACATACAGAAAGCATGTATTACGTACCACAGCCAGAGAAATTCTGACAGAACTGTTCCGATAAGGCCATTAATAACAATGCACATCCATATCAGCTTATTGGGAAACTCAAACGCTTCAAACCCGGTATAGTGAAGCAGGAAAAACCCTGGCCACAGCAGCAACAGATTGAACAGCCCTACAAAACCTGAGTATAAAGACAGTATTAAGTAAATCACAATACATATCCTTAAATATAATTAAAACCTCAGCTAAATTATGTTAACAGTATGCATATACAAAAGCAGCAACAAAGCAAGATTTTAAATCAAAGTAAAGGAATATGAGAAACTGTACCTGAAATTCACAAACAACATCAGGTAGTTGCAGGTTTGGGAAAAGAAAAAAAAAAAAAATCCACTGAGTCAAAGACACTGTCTGCATTCCTACAGGTAGCGTTATCTTTCATTGTTAAGACTTTAAAGAAGAAACAATTCACACAACCAGTCTCTGAAGTACTCATAATGACAGGAACAATAGGCTTTTTCCACCTCCTTGGCTTTTCTGAGCTCCTTTACCACTCCTATACAGTTCAGTGCCTGAAAGCAAACAATTTAATCAAACACTGAATTAAAACTTTCAATAGGGTTATTCTTAGTCTTACCAAAGAACATTGGTATGTCAAGTTTATCTTCTCTATCTACTTTCCTTTTGATCATTACTATGTACACAGCATACAGCATTGCTCCTACAAGAGACCAAAGGGAACCTGTAAAGATGAAAAAACGAGTCACTTCAGACACGCCAAACACATTATGCCTGCTAGGATCAACTCTCCTAAACATACACCTATTATAAAACTGTCAGAGGTAAGTAATTTATTACAGAAAACATTGTATATGAAAAGCATGGAAAACTGCAGAAAATTCAAAATGTAAGTACTTTCCCAATTAAACTATCTACATAGGGAAGAAAAATCATCAGAAATGTCCAGTTCCAGAAGTTGAAGCTAAAAAGCCAGACTGCCAAATGTTACACGACTAAGAAATATGTAGATTGTTATGTGACCTACTGAGTATTGTTAAAAGATGGTACTTATCACTGCATATTCTAGGATTAAAAAAAACCCCACAAGTAAATACCTATCGTATCTTTTCCAGCAGATTTCTCAGATCCAGAAAGGTTAACAAGTACCACACCACCAATGCTAGCAAAAGAGAAGGAATGCAAAATGTTACTTAAACCCAAGAAGGTTTTTTTCCTCCAAAGACAAAACAAAACAAATAAACAAACAAACAAACAAAAAAAAGAGAAAAATACAATAATACAGTTCTCTCAGTATTAGTTAATCAAAATCCACTTCTGAAAAAGCCAAAGGGAATTCTGTATTGCTAAGGCCTGATCCTAAGCTAAAACCAAACACACCAACCCCACTTTTAACTTCCTTGACCAATGCACTGGGCATTTAATGAAACAGGCTGACAACACTGAATGTCAAACCTCTTCCTTTTTTCCCCTGCATCTACATAAGAATAAAGACACCACAATTAAACAAGAAATTAAGCCCACATATTTCCAACAGAAACGTGATTAATCAAATTTCCTACAGGAGTATGAGATTCAATATTTGTTCATCATATGAAGTATTTAAACAGATTTAATTCACTTGTTCAATTTATCTGTGAAACAAGGATTTTTTTAAAAAGTGAAGCATTGTCACAGATACCATACGTATAGTAGTTCTCTCACTGTATCAGGGAGGTTTTGACCAAATATTCCAGCCCATTATCTTACCTTAAAATGACAGCTAATAATTTGGACAGGGTAAACCTATCTCCACTGTTACTGGGAAAGACTGCAGCTAAGATTAAAGTGAAAAGCCCTGCAAAAGAAATTAAGAAGAGTTTATACAACCAAGTTTTGCTCCTATTTAGTTCAGGAAACTGCACATTTTACCTTTCTTTTACACATACCTCTTTTGAACTACTTGATCTTAGCATCCCTAAGTTTTATTGGAACTACTATGAAACTAACACCTTGTGATATGAATCCTCAGATGAGCCAATATAGGCTCAAACTTTGAGAAAAGTTAGTCATATTAACAAAATAAACTGCAATAGTCTGAAAAGTCAGTGAAAAAAAAAAAATAACATAATTGTGCTTTTAAAACTTTTTCTAAACAACAAAAGTTACTTCTCAAAACATGGACTGTCACATAACTCAAATACTTTAGAGTTTGTATTACAGCTTTCCATAAAACCTGTAAAGCAAGTGATATACATAGTATTTAGGTGATTTAAGATCCTTAACTCATTTAAAGATCCCTAAACCCAGTTAAACAAACAAATAAACAATAATTAGCAAGACGACTTTACTCTGAATTATATCTATTTTAATAAAAAGACATACCACCTTTCCTTCAAGCCTATTACACTTCCAATACAGGTCTTTAATACACAGTCATAACTGCAGAAATACACACACGAACTTGAAAAATCAAAAAGCCGGGGAATCATGAGGATAGCCTAAAATTTTTAAATGCACATATTCAATGGCTTTAAGCCTTACTATTCACCCAAAACCACAGGTAAATGATTACATAAGTCCACTGCAACCAAAAAGATTTTTAGGTTATAAACAGCCTTATAATGCACATCTGGTGCTGTAATAAAACTTACCAGAGGTTGACGACAGTATATTAACTATAGCAACCTGGGTATCTGACAGAGCTTCTTGGTAAGAGAAATTTGCCAAGAACCACTAGGGAAAAAGAAAATATTATTTTGTGATTATACGGATAGCAACAAGAGAGTTTAAGTTTCTCAGTGCAATGAAATCCTACTTAAAGGAAAAAAAAAATCCAACTATTTATCCAAAAATAAAGTCAGAATGACACTTTTACCTGAAAGAGATTTCTAACTTCTATTAAAGTGGCAGGTACATTAGAAGACAGAAGCAAACTTGGAACTGGCCCAAACCAACCACATTCAGCTACGTGTTTTACAATGAAATAATATATTTAAGAACTTAAAAATAATTAAATAATTGGAATGACATTATAACAACTATTCTATAGTAACTAAAGATTCTTCTAAGGTGTTTTTCAAGTGCTTCAAGATTGTAACTGAACATTTCAGAGATACATGGAACAGTCAGCCTAATGAGGTTTTTTTAGAGTACTTAAAACTGGCACACACCTCCAATCTAAAAAGCAAGTATAGTTTACATTCAATACCTGAAAAATATTTTTTAAGGATTCATGACTCTTAACTCCTCCCTAAACGAATAAATGGCAAGTGTTCAACGATTCTTGATTAAAATCTCATTAATAAGATCTGATACATCTTCAAGGAAGTTACCAGTCTCTAAAGTCTTAGGTGCAAATATTTATACAGTCCAAGAAGAAACAGATATATAGGTAGCAGCATCCACAAATTGCATAAAAAGGATTTGTTATGAACATGAGGAATCTACCCTAGAAATTCTACATGTATATATACACATTTATATGTACACAGATACATACAATTTTAAATCATTTTTAAAAAGCTATTTCATCCATCCAGAATCACTAATAAGTGGATTATTGTTTTCTTGCTGCTGTGTGCACATTCTTTATGTACAACACCATTTTCTGGTCCACAAATAAAATTTACTCATTATTATTATTATTTCAAATGTTTAAAGAACACTACTTCCTGAGGAAAAGCAGTGGTGGGTCCAAATTACATATAACCTATTCAGCAGTATCAGTGAAGCTACTTCTGGGAAAGCTGTAACTGAACTGCTCTATACATTTTTACTGTTTCTCAGAAATCATGCTACCATTACCTCTCTCTCCACCTAGAACTCAGGCATGATGCAGAAACAGCAGCAACTAATGGATTCACAAGTAGATCTCTCAGCCCTCGATGGAGCTAAAGGACAATTATCTTTTCTTCATACTACTGGAGGGCACAAATGCCACAGTGAGCCATGAGATGGTACTTTTTCTGTGGCTGCCCAGAAAGAAGCCACAGTGATATTTTCCCATTTCACACACTCTCACTGCAGCTACTAACAGTGTGCACATAAATCCTAGATATTGCTGTACCAAACATACTCAACAGTGGACAACATGGCACAAAAGCATAATTGACCTTACAGTCAACTACACAATCAGGATCTGTTTTTACTACCCTCCCTTTAAGAAGCTGCACATTCATGTCCAGCATGAGGAAAGTTTTAATGCTTATAGGATATTTATAAAACAAAGCATAAAGAATACAAGTCATCTCAACACTGTTTCACTATTATTATACAAGTTTCAACTGCATCTATACTTAAGTCTTCTGAGAGAATGGAGCACATACCACAAAACAAAAGAAAAAGCTGATTTTTGCTACTTGAGTTGCAGTGAGTTTTCCTACAGTTTTTAATATTGATTCCTGGTCCTTAACCGTTGGATATGACATGCGAGACAACTTTGCTTCCAATGCATGGCTTGATGGGAGTTGTCGAATCTCCATAATATTACTGAATCGTACACGAGGCTTTTTGGGAGCTGAAGAAGAAAAGAGAAGGAAAAAGCCCCAAGCTTGATATTATCATTAAACTTTTCAAGCCAACACAATATGCAAATAAAACTCATGTTCTAATACAGCATTGATTACAACACTTATCAAATAACAGGTTTATATACAAAGAGAAAACACATCATTATTTTTATTTATTAAACTAGTCTTTTGCTGTTTGATAGGCCAGTAATAAGACAAAGCACAATTACAGTTTTCAATCAGCACAGTTGTCTACCCACAAAAACCTCACTGAAAAGCATTATCCCTCCTCCCAGTCAAAAAAATCCATGCAAAGTAACAACAAATTTTTAGGTAGGAATTATTCTGTATTGACAAATATTACATGCAAGATTTTATTTAATTATTTTAATAGTCAAACAGCCAAAAACTGCAGACAAGTATACCTAACTGCAAGGACAGTGTTTCATTCAGAGGATGAGAGTGTCCAACAGACCTCAAAGCTTAGCAGAGATCATAAGGTCACTTGCTCAACTTAAATCCGCCCTCTAACTAATCTTGCAAACCAGGATCACATTTTATCTATAAGGGTATTTTAAGTATCACTATTTAAGTATCATTAAGTGTTTCAATATGAAACAATACCTAATATCCTAAAAAAAATAAAAAAAAAAGAAAAAAAAAAAACCTAAAACCAAACTAAAGGGAAAAGCTACAGCCCAAACCACCCTGAAGTGCATGTTAATACAGCACAGTAGAGCCTAAGAAACTGGTTCTTAACACGTCATCTAGAAATTAACAAAGAGACTTTCCCTTTTGTAAGCAGGGACTCTTTTGCTGAGGATCAGATAATTGGATTCTCTGACAGCCAGCTTATCTATAATTGTCTGGGACAGTTAGGCCTGTTTCAGCGACTATCACACGATAGTGAGGCTTAAATAAAATCAGAATGCACATAGACTGTTAAAATTCTTACTTTGACTGCTTTGCTCCTGCTCTAAAAAGGACAATAGCTTGTTTTTCCAGAGGCTGACTCACTGCTGCTGGTCATACAAGCCCAGAAGGAAAGAACCACAAGTACTGAACCCAGCTGGTCCCTTGAGATAAACATAGGCTGGATCTGTAGTGACCAAGAAAGGTTAACTGAATGATAGGCCTATGTTTTCTCTACCTGAAAGTAAATATATGAGACTGCAATTCAAGCAATAAGAGATTTAAGGAAAAAAAAAAGGAGGGGGGAAAAAAAAAAAAAAAAAAAAAAAGGCAGAGGTGAAGGGAAAAAAACCCAAAACCCAAAGTCCTGCAACATGACAGTATTTATACCAACAAAGAGGAAAGTAATTTTTTCACAAAGAACTAGCATTTCAGCACTCCGAAAGTCTTTACTCACTTTTCTCTGCATCACTATTATTACTGCCATTTTTTTCAGTTGGCAAATCATGAAACTTTACAGGAACATATAAAGGTTCACTCTGAAATGAATCAGTATAAGTAAAAATACAGTTAAGCAGGATATTTAAATTATAAGCAGTAGAATTAATTTAGCGAATTAGAAAACTAAATAAAAGCTTGGTGAACATCATAAGAATGAAATTTAACAAAGTGGTTTTGTACACAGTGGATAGGCTTGCCAAAAATGTTCATACGTAAATTATATTTTATGTTAAACATATTGGTAAAATGTACTCAAAAATAACTGCGTGCTTTTTTGTACATCCTCATGAACAAAAACTCATCTCCAGAAAACAGCTCATTAAAATCATGGACACTTCATCAGATTCTGTCCAAATTATAAATGAGACCCATAAGAATTCACATACAAAAATGAATACATACTCATTTTCCTCCCATAACCCTAAATGCTCATGAACTAAAAGTCAAAATACTTCAGAAATGTAACTCAAATTTTTAAAACTTCTTTAGGAGTCGGAGGACTTGAGCCCAGGTCCCATCATCAGCTTTTGGCAATGGTCCTCTGATTATGGCAAGCTTGGAAAGTTTGTGAGCTCCAAGAGGCATCCCACTCAGAAGGGGATGCTGTTCATAGCCCACTGCAGTCCAGGACAGCTCAAAGAGCCTCACCCAGGACCATTATTTACCAAGTCACAAGATGATTGGCTTTAGTCATTAGTAAATTTCCATCCTGGCCACAACCTGAGTGAGTAATTACTAGAAACTTTTCAAAATTCTAGTGACAATGGTACTGTTCCACTCAGGCTACAATCAAGGGAAGGAATGTTCCAAGGCTGTCAGTGGATGGCTGATTACTCCACCTCTCACTTCCCAGGTTATCAAGGCGACAGGAGGCCCTGGTATGATGAGTGCCTCTGTTCTCACCCACACAAGAGTTAAAGGGATGCTTGACAACCCAACTCATTACACAAAGGCCTGACAGGACTTCCTTATATAGTAGATTAGCCCAGGGGATGTGGGGTGGAGGGATGCACCACCATAGGCACTTAGCAGAAGTTTCAATTGCTTAAAATACTTCTAACAATACAACTTTTAATCTGCTTGTTTAAATAAAATTAATAAACTCTAAAAGTCAAGTAATGAGAAAGATCTGGTAGCTCCATTTTGATTAGGCCCCTTCTTAGGGTCAGATTTTTTGTGAATGTTAAAATTAATGCAAAATTGTCCAAGGTTAATGATGAATCCTGCTTGTAGAGTCAGAATCTTTATGAACCGAGCAAACTAAGGTGACCTTATTCCTAAATATAAAGTTGGAAGGGTGTAAGAGGGAGAGTGAAATGAAGAATAATTCTGAAAAATGTCTCTTCAACTCCCTATTCAGGATAAAATACCCAATAAGTAGTTTTGTCAACATGCAACTGCCTCCACTTACTCTATTACAAAGACGGTTCAAGTTCTGCATTTTGGATACTTCCCAGTTTGGCCTCTGATTTAGGTATGCAAATTAAAGAACAACCTGTGACCCACAGGGGCATATGTCACCTACGGATGACAAAAATCACCACAAAAATGCTATCTGGCAATGCAAGTTGTCAGCAGAATACCAGTACTGACATCTGATTCGGTAAACAGTAATCACTCCACCCACTGGAAGGAATCCACTGCAATTCTTTTTCAAAATGCAATGCAGGATCACACTATACAAGACATTGAACCAACCGATTCATATAGAGGATACTTAACTAACTGATTCCGTTGTAGATTTTGGTCTTGAAAACTGTTTGGCTGTACCACTGGTTCTCCACATTTTGCTTTGGCAGCTACTGAGCTGAATATGTAAACGTTTCCTTAGCATGACATAAATATATATTTCACAAACTACTACAGAAACATTTGAGTGTTTTATTGAGCTGAGAACCTGTATTTCACATAATAAGCAACACTATTATTTGTAACACTTATTAGTAACATGTAAGTTGACAACTGCCTTTGCCAAAAACTATCACATTTAAGACCGCCATATTTTAAAAACAGTACGTCTGTATAATGGTGTCATGTTACGGTACAGCATTGACCTTCACAAATTAAGGCACTTACCAGAGAACTGTTTACAGTGTTATCTGTTGTACAAGCAGCAAAATAACCTTCAGCATCTGCAAACTAATTACAGAACCTTAAATTAATAATATGCCACCAAGGTACAGTTACTAAATAACTGATTTAGTTCAGTCTTAGCGAGACATGCTTCATTGGATTATTGTGCATATGTTGATACCAAGCCTCTTGCTTCTTCACTTTATTAAGGCAAAGTTCCTTTGCATAAAAATCTCTGCTTTAGTTTTAACAAGGCTTAAACTAGGAAGGGGTCAAGTGTTAGTTTTCCTCTTCTTCACATTAACAAGCATTACTACCCTTGTTCCCTGATCTGCAGCTTGCTGTTCTACCATGCTAGTAAGAAAGCCACTAAACAAATCCTCTAATGTGGAAGACAGCATAAAAGTAAGATACGAGTGTTAACTAAGCAATCATTATTGAAATAAAAACCTATAAACGTTAATATTTTTGTACCAGATTAATAAACACAAGATATTTCACAGGCACTTGTAATAATTATACAGTTAAATGTTTAACTAAACTCAGGAGGCCGGTGTGGGGATATAAATAAATAAAATCTTCTAACTACTCCCTACAGTCCTGTCTCTGCCTGTTCTGAACTATGCTGACATCGAAAGTAATGGCTATTTCCTACAAATTAATTTAAAAATTACTTTTTGTAGGATTAGCAAGAAAAAAATGAGATTCCAGTTGTGCTGTCATGAGTGACACACACAAAATGTGACTGATTGAGCACTCTTAGTCATCCTGTCCGGCTCATACAAGTTCATATTATCTCTTTATCTGATAGCACTGCACAAGATTCAGTTGGTCAAGGTAACGACTACAATTCACACTAGGCAACAGCCCCTTATTCTACTCATTTGCTCAGATTAATAAATTTGGTCACTATAATTGTTCTGTACAACTAATCATCCTTTAGTGCTTTCATGGCTCTTATTTGTCATTACTGCCAGTAAAGAATCTGTAAATTCTGCTTATTTCCTGATTATTTTACGAAGATTCTGAACAGCATCATCTAACATGTTCCATACTGTACAGACACTTCACATTAAAGGCGGACTAACAAAAATCATTCAAGATATCAGCCAACTCTAAATATTGTGTATGTTTAACATGATTTTTTGTTTGTTTGTTTGTTTTAACAAAAGGTTTAAGGGGCTTGTTTGGGGCTTTTTTACTCTTAGTGGTGCTTTGCTGTTCTGGGCTGGGGTTTGGGGGTGTTTGGTTGGTTTTGTTTTTATGGGTTGTGGGTTTTTTGGGGGGGGTTTGCTTTGTTTTTTTATAATTTGGCTTAATGTCATTTCACACTTCAATTGAAGTATGTTATGCCTACAACTGTCACTATCAGTGAAGTCTAATATATGCAGAACTGAAGTAAATTCTCCTTTCACAGAAGCTATATATTTATTTTCTATAAAGACATGTGGATTAACAGTGTATTCTTGGATGACATTTTCTGTTATTTTAATGTGAGATTAATATCAGGCCAAATGCCTCACTGCTTCCTGAGACCTGCTGTTCAGCATTCTGAAACACTGGCACAGTATATGCGCTCTTCTCAGCGACCTTTAATTTCTTTGGAAAAGAGTATGTATTTCTGTAATATGACAATAATTTTAGACTCTGACACAAATCATGCTTAGTTCTAGAATGAGCAACATAACGCTACTTGTGCATAAATGCTATAAAAATACAATATTAACAACAACAAAAGCATAATTCTACCACTTTTCGTAAATATAACTTCTAAAACCTCAAAACCTCTCATCAAATAGTTCATAGTTCTGCCAGAGACAAAAAAGGTCAGTAATGAAAATCAACTGCGAAGTTCAAATATTGATTCCACTGGTTACAGATGCTGGGGGAATAAAAGGGAACCCACAGCCAACATGAGTTATGAGTGACGAGGCTCATAAGCTCTTTTTTAAAAGAATACCCTCTGCAACTGTCCAAGATAAAATACCAGGCTAGATGAGCCAATGGTCTGGCCCAGTGAAGCATTTCTCACGATTCCTGAAACATTTCATATTGCTTTTTCCTTTCTTTTCTTCTTCACAAGAGTACTATTAGGATTATCATGTCTTCCTGTGCCATGATTCAGTTTATAATTGTTTTTCTGAAAGCACTATTTCACAAATATGTAAACTTTGCTTTTCTCTAGTCTCTATTTTAAGAGGTTTTTGTCCTATACAAACTTCAACAAATATCAAAACATTTACAGAGCTAAAATACTTACAAAAGCTGCATGCCTTCCACGAAATCCACGAGTACACTGTTGCCTCCATGGTTTCCAAACAATAAATCCCAAGAGGTATAGAACAAACATGGATGTTTTTGCAAATGTACTGAAAAAAGGCTTGTTGTACTTTGTAAAAACATACTGTGGAAAGAAAATAATTGCAGTATCCAAAATTAACAATTAGGTGAGAATTCACAAAATGAATGAACAGGTTTTAGTCCAGAACAGTCTGATTCCCAAAATGACAGTGCTGCAAGTATTGGCATGTGTGACCAAAAGACACAAGGGGCCGTACTTATTCTGGGGGTATCACCACTCCTAAGACATCATAAATACCAACAAGAAGGCACTGAGCCATTTTGTAAGATACAATGCCACTGGAGAAAAGCTACTTATTACTTGTATCTAATCAAGCAACATATCGATTGATATGCCACTGAACTCAAATAATACTGAAAATACATTTACATACAAGTATTCTCTAAATGAAAGACCACTTCAATTAGCAATAGCATTGTGAGCACAAATTAGAGAAGATTACTTTGAGTAAGTAGATTTTCAGTATCAATAGTGATGACACCAGATGACTGCAAAAAATTTTTTTATTAATGTAAGCATGTTAAGCACAAACATTTTTATATGCTTAGTTTCAAAACCAATATAGAACGTAAAAACTTAATGACCATTCAGAAACCCAAAGATGACAATTTATTAAAAACTGGTTTTCCATTGCTAAAGCTCCAAGTCCTAAAACTCAACATGAAGTAAATACCAGATTAGTTTCAAGATGGAATATATGAACTAGGTCATGACAAACTTGTCTGCAATCATAGGGTTTAAACTGCATGATCAGAGTCCTTTGGTCCTAGACTTCTACATGTTCTGAACTATAATCTAGCACACCATCTACCCTGCAGTGTTACAGCTCTTTCACTATTTCTTGGGAAGCATATGGGCATTATTTTAATCAATCAGGCAATAAACAAAATGAACTCCCTAATTACAATACACAGTTATGTACGTTGTTTTATTTTAAAATCATCAGTAACTCCTTCTGTCTTTAAAGCAAGGGTCACAGAGTTGAGCTTGTCTGTACCTTTCAGTGAATACAACTTAGTTCACTAACCCAAAGGATATCATGTTCATGGTACTGAAGAAGTAGTTAAACATTACACTAGAAACACTGTCTGTTTGACCATGCTTCTGTTGTATCTTTCTCTTAAGCTGGCTTTTATTTTCCTTTTAAGGCGCATGGAATAATACTTACAGAAGTGAGTTCTGAAGAGGCAACCCATATCACGTCAACAAGAAGAAGAATGACAATTCCTAGAGCCATTCGCCTACGTTGAGTGGATGAACTGCTCTGGGAGCTCATTCGATTCATGATAAAAACCCACACCATTTGTAACCTATTCAAGATTGATAAAGGAATAAAACCCAAAAGATTACAAACAGTGACAAAAAAAATAAAAAAAAAAAAACCCAACAAACCCACCCAAAAAACCTCAAGCCCCCCCAAAAACAGTGGGGGGACTATGTTTCACAGATATGAAATAGACCCACTATGCTAAGGAAACACCTTTGTATTTCTTAAAAAGCAGATCTTTCACAGATCTGGCATGACATTTTCAGAGACATTAGAGGCAATCAGAAAGTAAATCTCATCTTTTCAGGGATTTATCAACTGTTCTACCACTGAAGTAAGTATGTAAAATATACAATACCTTTTTTGTAATTTCTATGCTACGAACTCCACAATATTTGAGACCAGTACATTTTCGTAAACTCAGACACTCTAAGCTGACTAGAAAATAGTTTGATGTATTGTGTCAAATACAATTCTACTAAAGGTAGTCAGAAACATATTTAAAGTTAAGCATTCAATAAACATTTCCAAAGACATAGCAACCCATTTGGGTAAATTATGATCCCTCAAAGAACAAAGTGATTCAAGAAGGAAAAAAGAAAAAAAAAAAAAAACCCACAAAAAAAAAAAAACCACCAAAAATCCCCAAAGAATATCGAGTTATTTTGCTACAGATTACATAACATACCTTTCTATTTATCATCATGAATTCAAAACACTCACTGAGAGAACTCAAGGAACTGAAATCCAATTCATCTTTACAGAGCAGCTCCTGACTCTCCCAGTAAATAAAGGTGATCTGCTTTGCTAATAAAGTTCAGTGAATTTAAATTACACTTTGTTTTTTTCCATGTGTCAACATACACTGTCTTTTCATTATTCACAAGTTATCAAAGAGACAGTATTACAATGTCTTCAGTAAGGAAGCTACATTTCTTTTTTTCCCAGACTAGCCTGTTCTTCAGACTAATGATTTAAATGCCTACACATCCGAGATCACTACACTGTTTCCAGCCTTGACTTATGCCTCTCCTTTGCAATACAGTCTCTACCATGTTCAAATTTCGACATTCTTTCCTCCATTTCTCAAAGGGCTTCTTTCCAAAGAAAAAAATCAACAGGCAGAGTTCTTGCAATATCATTATACTACTAGATCTATGCTGATATATTTCATGTGTGGGCATCAGTTCTGCATAATTATTCTGCTTTTCTGATAAAATGGTGGGATTGAGAAAAGAAACCATAAGTCTGCAAGCAGGGAAGGGCAAAGTTACAAAAAACTCAGCAAGGAACTGCAGTTTTTATTTGACACGGAATAGAGGAGAAACATTTGTTCTAAAAGAGAAAATAAATAGGGATTTTATGTTAAACTCCAGTACGCCAACAGAAAGGTTTTCATGCTTGAAAGCTTATAAAGGTTTTTTTCATTTTTTATGAACTGGTCTAATAGATACTAAATAGTTACACTCTACAAACTTTGCCTTCATGTTATTATGACTAATAGCCTACATGCCATTATATTAAGTTATATTATATATAGTCTACAAATTGCTCATGTCTTTGTGCAGTATGCATCAAAAAATGGAAGCTGGGCATAAAGAGTTCCAAACGAGCTATAAAGAAGAAATCTCATTCCTTGTCAGGCTACAGCATAACACATTAACAGTGGGTAAGGCATACCAGAAATGGAAACCACTTCAGCCTTCTACCAGTCATATGCTGCAGGTAGGAGGGGGAGAGGTAGCTGGAGACAGGAAGGAATCGCTGAAGCCCCATCAACTTGATATCTCTACATCAGATGCTCGCATCCCTAGCATTCTGTTCTCACCACAAACTGCTTCAAAGCATACAGCACATATACACTGTGCTTAGAGGTCACGCACAGATAATGTGCACGTTCTGTAGTTGCTTAATACTGTACTAAACTTGTTTACGTTAGGCTCATACAAATCCCTTTCCTTAGCATGATGACAGAATATCTAGTACTTCTCAGATAAGAGGTTACATATAAAGTTATTCAGAGTATAAGCACATGTTGCACCATTTCTTTTCTACCTATAAGTAAATTTTAAAATTCTAATTAAAGAGCCCATACTTATGTCTTGCAGTCTTTTATATGTTACAGTAATAGCAGCTATTACTTTCTCATCTGAGCACAAAGTGTCTGTTTAACATTTCTCTGCACTTAATATAGCTCTTTGCTTGGTTCTTCCATAACAAGGAAAAAAATTTAACAAGAAAGGGTGACTACAAATTTGGTCTTCATACAGCATGATGCACCCTGAAGCTCATAGTCAACTAAAAAAAAAAATTACTAATCAGCAACACTAAAATGCCTATACTGTTCAGCAGAAAACCAGAATCCTGTTGAAAATTATAGCCTAAGTTTTAGGGCAGAATTAAAGCTTGTAAAACTTCATACAGAATACAAAGACAGACAAAAACTACTACTTCGAAAAGTTTTTAGACAGACACATTATCCCACTTATTGACAAAGTATCAGTATTCATGAACTTGAAACGAAATACAATTCCACACATCTCTTTTACTTGGCTTTTGTACTGATGGTGATATACTCTGACTAAAATGAACACAGAAAGAACAAGATTTACTTTTCTCATACATACCTTCCACACTAACTGTAAAAAATACAAACAAAAAATGCTAAGAGACTTCACACATCACGTTGAAGTGAAGACAGTATCCTAAAAAGAAAAAAAAAAGGGAAAGCTTGAAAAATTGTGTGCATGTGTCTAAGATATACTTATCTTTCTTTGCAAGACATCTTCTAAAATTGCAAGTTCCACAAGTATCTGCTGCAGTTCAAGTCCTAAATGTTGGGTACAAACAGATACAGAACCTTAAGAACTGGGCCACATCAAAAATCCTAGCAAGACAGCACTGACTTAAAAGAGATCAGGATCATTTACTATTTTTGATATTTCAATGAATATGATCCCTTCTTTATTCACTGAAATAAGTTCACATAAGAAACAAGAAACTGATAATATTAAGGTCTAATTTTTTAAGCTATGCAGAGAAAGGCCTTATTTCTTAAGCAAACATTCCTAAGCAAAGAATTTAAACATTAGAATTATGAAGGTAGTGGAAGAGCATATAGGCTTTTTGGCCTTAAAATGATCTACAAAGATAAGACACCTCCATGTTATTTCTTGTGGAAGCCCAGTATCTTTCCTTAACTTGATACAGTATTATTACCATAGCAAAACAAACAACCCCCACAAACCAATTTCATCTAAAACTCTTTTTAAACTCAGATCTTGTAAAGACATTCAATAAAATCCACTTTAAATTTGT